GTGATTTTGAGTTATGGACAGTATTGTTGGGTGCAGCCAAAAATGTTCATAATGCTCTAAAGAAGCTCGGTTTAGATGATGGAATTCAGATCACTACAGCACATTCCCAAGCCGTGTTTTCTAATTCTTTTCCACCCTCCTCGTGTAAATTCAGAGAAAATGTTGCTCAGTATATGAAGCCTCTATTGCAGTTCTTCTCACAGATTGGCTCTCCTTTCTGTCTAAATGCATACCCATTTCTGGCCTACATGAGTGACCCGGAAAATATTGATATCAATTATGCTCTTTTTCTATCGACGAAAGGGATCGACGATCCTAAAACTCGCCTGCATTACGATAACATGCTCGATGCTCAGATTGATGCAGCTTACGCAGCGCTGGAAGATGCTGGATATAAAGATATGGAAGTCATAGTTACAGAAACAGGATGGGCTTCACGTGGAGATGACAATGAAGAAGCAGCTACAGTAGGTAATGCACGGACTTATAATTATAACTTGCGGAAACGGCTTGCCAAGAAGAAAGGAACTCCTCTTAGGCCAAAACATGTGGTGAAGGCTTATATCTTTGCATTGTTTAATGAGAATTTGAAGTGGGGGCCGACTTCTGAGAGAAACTATGGGCTTTTCAAGCCTGATGGGAGCATTGCTTATGATATTGGCTTTCAAGGACTTCAATCTTCATCTGCTTACGCATTACTTTCAACTATTAAGGTATGAAAGCCTTCCTCCTTGACTAAAAGGATTTAATGTTTATTGAAGTTGGCTTAAGATAATCTGCTAAAACTTGTGAGTTGATTAGATTGGAACATTCAGATGAAAATCTTTCTTTGTTTCTCTTACCTTTGGTCATTGCTTCAGGATATGATTTTCTGTCTCCCTTGTGAATGTAAGAAATGGGTATGGACCCTTTTGCATATTTTTCTGTTCGCTTCTTGAAAAAGTTTAAGATTCTACGTCGGTTGGAGAGGAGAACGAAACATTTCTTATAAGGGTGTGGAAACCTCTCCCTAGTAGATGCATTCTAAAAACTTTGAGGGGAAACCCAAAATGGAAAACTCAAAGAGGATAATATCTGCTAGCGGTGGGCTTAGGGCATTACAAATGATATCAGAGCCAGACATCGAGTGGTGTGCTAGGTAAGACGTTGGGCCTCTAAGGGAGGTGAATTGTGAGATCTCACATCACTTGGAGAGGGGAACGAAACATTTCTTATAAGGGTGTGGAAACCTCCCACATCAGTTGAAGAGGGGAACGGAACACTCCTTATAAGGGTGTGAAAACCTCTCCCTAGTAGATGCATTCTAAAACCTTTGAGGGGAAACCCAAAAGGGAAAACTCAAAGAGGATAATATCTGCTAGCGGTGGGCTTGGTGCATTACAAATGGTATTAAAGCCAGGCATCGTGCGGTGTGCTAGGTAGGACGTTGGGCCTCTAAGGGAGTGAATTGTGAGATATCACATCACTTAGAGAGGGGAACGAAGCATTCCTTAAAAGGGTGTGGAAACCTCCCATATTAGTTGGGAAGAGTGGAAATCTCTCCCTAGTAAATGCATTTTAAAAATCTTGAGTGAAAGCCTAAATAAGAAAATATCTTCTAGTGGTGGACTTAGGCTGTTACACATAGCCCAAAGAGAACCTTACCAACATGCTAACTGTAGGCTGATAGGCATTGTTTCTGTTCCAATAATGTCGTCTTCAAGCAGTATATATTCACTCAGTTTTTGCTCTTAAGACATCTGCTTAGTATCACCATAATATATATTCATTCAGTAGTTTCTGAGAAAGATGAGTTTTGATATACCTCTGCTTCTGTTCAAGATTGACCTGCCACTTGAGGCATCACTACATTTCTGTGGTGTCATAAATCATTCTTGCTTTTGTTCACTGATGCAGGAACATGGGGCTACAGGTTCTCATGAGCACCACATCTCAGTAGCAATAATATCAGCGGTAACTCTATTCCTATTCTTGCAACGATGTGTTTTATAAGTTCACCAATCATATGCAAAAAACTACCAAATACCATTGATTCTCCCAGCCTACATTCAAACGTTTCGATGCAGAGCATAAATTATACAGTTCATGGATTCTTGTTTTCATGAATGTACACTACAAAATTGCTGATGTATTTTTTTTAAAATCGTTCATAGCCAAATGTATATTGTGAATTATTAAAGAACTAAGGCTATCATTAGCTTTGTTATAGAGAATAAAGTTTAAATATGTTTCATGTTCGTTGTATATTCCGTGTAATTTAGGCATGTATCCTCTTGTCAAAGCATTGTTTGTCCTGTTTAGTTGACGGAGAAAAATTTCTCCCCACTGCCTCCACTCATTTCTCATTTAAATGGAGATTTTCTACCTCATTCGGTGTGAATCCCTATGAAGTGCCGACTACACGGGTTAAATGGACATCTTACTTGGTCTTTAAACTTGTAAAAGTAAAGTTTGGCTGGTTTAAATACATATTGAAGTCAACTCTTCAAACTAATGATTTGTTTGAATAAGGTATAAAATTGTCACATCATACATAATATATCATAATATAAATGTTGAGTAATTCCAAGCAAGAAACAATATTATAATACAAATGTTGGATATCAAATGGCACGTAGAAACGGCAAGCGTTCAAATGGCCACACTACATGTTTTATCTACAAGTTTTGTGATGTCCCACATTGGTTGGGGAGGAGAACAAATCACCATTTATAAAAATCACCCTTTATAAAGGTGTGGAAACCTTCTCCTAGCTGATGCGTTTTAAAGCCTTCTCAGTTGAATTTTCTATCATTTTTAAACTTTTTCGAGGTCCAAGGCGATTTTGGTTGGAACTGACCTCCAAACACCTTCTTTTTTAATTGGGCTCGTAACAAAACCTTCTCCGTGGGTGACACACTTGGTACGACGTAATAATCAATCATTCTAAGCACTTGAAAAACGACCCTTTTTGTTTGGTGCATTATTGGCAGCTTTCTCTGGATTTCTCTTAATCATCGTAGCTTAATTATTGTATTGTTTACTTCAAGATCATGCTTTAGAGCTAGCATGCAGTGTTTCATTAATATTAATAGTAAGTGATCAAAATGGGTGCATATTCTTCCTAAATTATCTTCATTTAGATAAGTTCAAAGAACCAGGGGCAATTTTGGTCAAAATGGGTGCATATTCAACAAACCAGGGGCATTTTGGTCAAAGAGCACGATCGAGTTAGATAAGTTCAAAGAAAATCAAACTAGAAAACGAATAAAATTGAGCCTGAGCGAGACTTAGCTTTTTAATAAATGGATCATGTCAAATGCACGACCCTAATTGGAGGAACCCAACTAATCTCATGGTAAGTTTGATTAACTTTTTATAATAAGTTTGATTAACGAAGAACGTGAACCATACAGATCAAGCTTATATGTATTCATCCTTATAATTCAATAGAAAATAAGTTTGTTCTCAAATCCAAAGCTAAGCTAAATTTGTTACACTTTCTCATATTTAATACCAGACACCAGAGTGTGTCAAACACCACATCGCAAAGACAAAATTGAGCTTTTACACCGTGAAATTAATGTTGTGCACCGAAAGCGGAACAAATGTACTCACAATACCAATGAACGGAATTACACAAAGAGACACCAAGATATTTACGTGGTTCGGAGAGAATAAGTTCTCCTACATTCGCGGGTAGCAACCAATCGCTAAAACAAAGCATTTTAAGTGAATACCTCACTATCACACTACAAAGACTCTCACTAATATGTCACTCAATAAATACCAATATCAAATGTGATATCAAATCCAGATATATATAACTAAACCCCCTGACTAAATTTAATTCAAAAAACCAAATCAAATCAAAACTTATAACAATTCAAACACCTATAACCAATGACCGTTTGATAATTCAAACACAGCGACCACCATAAACATTTAATGAACGTTGAGTAACCAATTTGAATTTAATATTATAATGATATTTATTTGTTTTTATTTATTTACTTTAAGATTCTGCATTTTTAAATCATTTTTGTGGAACACGTATTAATAAATTAATTAAGATATATTTAAATGGTTCAAATATTAAATTAAAGTTTATAAAGTAAGGAACATTTTTAGACGACTCTAAGTTCTATGGGTAGATTTGTTTGAAACGTGTGCAACACAAATTTCATTAGAATTAAATTGACCATAAAATCAATAATAAACTATTAAATTCAAAATTGGCAACTCATTTCCATCCATGCCCACATCCACAGCTATGCTTATAAATGCCCCCCTCCCTTCTTCTGCTCATTCCAAGAACATCGTTCATAGTTCATACATGGGTTCAACAAGATCGAGCTTCCTTGCTTCCCTCCTCTTCATTGGGGCGCTCCTCCAAGCTGCTGCCGCCGCCGCCGCCGTCGACCACCGTGTGGGAGGCGATTTTGGTTGGAACCTACCGCCGACTCCCACCTTCTTCTCTGAATGGGCTAGCAATACCAGTTTCTCTGTGGGCGATACACTACGTAAATATCCATACTTTTTAAGCTCAGTCATAATGAATTTGTAATTATTGTGTTGAAATAAATGGGGGGTTTGTGTAGGGTTCAATTCAAGTGCCAATCAAACCCACAACTACGGCATGCCCGAGTCTCAAGCAGAGTTTGACGGATGTGTGAAGCCAGGAATATTTTTCGAGAATGTAATTTTTGTTACCTTTGATCGTCCTGCTCGTAAATACTTTATCTGTAATGTTGGCAACCACTGCAAGTTGGGCATGAAATTTGCCGTCGACGTTTTGCCTAACCCTGGAATGCCGCCCAACTCTGCTCTCAAAATTGGTGCTTTTCCTACCCTGTTCTTCATCGCCACCGCCATCCTGCCCAATTTCTTGTTCTTCATTTGAGTTATACATCACAGTGATCAACCAGCAGATGTTTCAATAATGAGTATACATTTTCATTTTCATTGGCTTTTCTTCACAAATTGCTTACAAGTTACAAAGATCTATATTACTACTACCTTCATTCAGCAACAAAAGGATGTTTGACTAACAGCCAAGTTGGTCTTCTTTTGTACGGACTTCTGATCAAACACCTTTTTACAAAATCTCTTCCAGCACTTGATATTTTACTTGGGATTTCTGGTATCTCCTGGTTGCAGTCCATTAGATAATTATAAGCACTTTCAAAGCTCCATGCTGGTTTTCCAGTCAACATCTCTAGCACCACGCATCCAAGTGCCCAAATGTCAGCAGGCCAGTCTAGATAGCCATCTTTGGCCAACTCTGGCGCTATGTATGATCCTGAACCACTGATTTCCTCGTCGCATAACACTTCAGGAGTGAGCTTCCTAGCTAACCCAAAACTAGCTAACTTAGCCACCAAACAACCACCTTTATGATCACTTGGTGATAGTAAGATGTTTCTTGGTTTTATGTCACCGTGAATGTAACGAGCATTGCAATGCATGTAACAGAGTCCATGAACAATGTCTCTTGTGTACTTGCGAACTATGGGTTCTGGTAACCCATTACGCCCAAATTTGATAATGTGATCACGCAGGCTTGAGCCGCAGCAATACTCGAACACGACATTGTAAATCTGTTCGCCTGATTTGTTCATCGTTATTTCGTCTCCATAACAACGCACTAGATTTGAGCATGGCCCTAGATTGCATAGCACTTCCTTCTCGTATTGGAGTGAAGACGATGACTCCATTAAACAAGATTTGACAAGAAACTCTGAATTTGAGTTGGTGGATGATTTGTTTTTGGCCAAGAAAACAAGGCCAGATCCACTTTTGCGAATGAGGCGATCACCAATCCAGAATGAACCGTGATATTCTTCGATTGCTAAGTTACCAAATCTTCCGTAGTTGTGTTTCACGTTGTTGTTCCAATTGTTGCTCGATTGTGACTTCTTTGCGCACTTCACGATGCCTCTTTTTGTTTTCAAGAACTCGTGCAGGTTAACAATGTTGTGACATTGTTGGTTAACTTGTGAGACAACACAGGACTTCGTCATAGTTTAAATCAAAGATGAAATCTGTACGAATTTAGACCGATATTAGAGATTTGGACGAGTGCAGTCAACAATAAACTATGTAATCGATACGATTCTAGAGGAATTCATCATAACTTTAACTTAGTTATCATCAATTTTGAAATTAAGAACAGCTTTTGAACCAGATGAATACTGTTAATTCTAAGTCTGGAAGCAACAATAATTTAGTGTTGATTTTAAGTGGAAAATTTCACATGCGGCTCAAATTACGAGAAAAAAGAAACACGTCCTAATTCAGATTATGATTGAACAATACATGAACATGTAGAATTGAACTTCTAACCTGCCGAAAGGATCGACCTCGATTCCCTCCCCGATGCGACGGAGGGGCGGCGATGATCAGCGGAGATTCTAAGGACGCGTGAAATTCGGCGGTGAAACAGAGGAAATTAAAGCGGCTGCGGCTGAGAGAAAAAAGGTCCAGCAGAGGTGAAGTTCTCCAGTACTGCAGATGAATTGATCAATGCGTCTGTGAGTGAATATATATAGAAGAATTGGATTCCTTTTCTGTGAAAATTTTCCATTCCTACTCGCTTTCCCTATTTGATCCCGTTTTTTTTTTCGAATTTGAATGCAATATTGTTTTGGAAATTAATATCGCTGTCAGAAACTTCTCTCCTTAAATATTTCTAAAGGAATTTTTCCTTATTTGCGTAAATTTCTGTGCCTTTGATTAATAGATATTTCTCCCTATAAATGCTACTGATTAATCGACTCTAGGATTAAGTTTGGTATTAATTTAGCAGTTTCATAAAATTATTTAAGGATTAATTTGTGTGTTTCTATTTAAAATCATACAATTTATGATTTTTTTTTTTTTTTTTTTTTGGTTATAAGAATTCGTACGCTCTTGTTCATTGAAGGCCTTAAAGTTGAATTAATAAAATTTGTAACAGCAGTAAGACACATCAACGGTGAGCGGGTTGTGTTGGCGCCGTTGTTTGAGTCTGAGCGAGTTGAAGCTCAAAAGTCAGCTCCCGCGATCTGCAATATGTTCTTTTTCTATTAATCAAAGACCCATTTGGAAGATTCGGCCGAATCCTCCGCCTTCCGGATCTTTCGCATCCGATGTCTCATGGTTGCTAGTTTATCGCCGCCCACAATCAACCTTCGATTCTCTTCTCTGATCGTACTTTGACCGGAATGACAAGCCCCCGATCGTTGGGGCCACCGTCTCTTCCGATTCACTCTCCAACACGGCACTATGACTCCTGGGACTGTATGCTTCCGGGACCTCCCAGCCGCAACAACTTCGGATCCGCCGACATCAGCCCTTCCGGTCTGCTCGCTTTCCCCTCCGGCAGCTCAGTCTCCATTATCGATTCTCGTTCTATGCAACTCATCACATCAATTCCCATGCCTCCGCCGTCAACTACTACTTCTTCTCTCTCCCCTTTCGTCACCTCTGTACGGTGGACTCCTCTCCCCCTCCGCCGTGACCTTCTCACTACTGAGCCCTCCACTTCGCACCTGCATCTCGCCGCTGCTGATCGTCAAGGCCGCATTGCTCTCCTTGATTTCCGCTTGAAGTCCCCAACTATCTGGTTCGATACTAGCGACTACAAGTTTGGTGTTCAGGATCTGTGCTGGGTGCGGTCTGGACCCGACTCGTACTTTATCGCTGCAATTCACGGCGCCTCGGCTCTCTCCCTCTATAGTGTTACCACTGGTCGATGTGTCTGGAAATATGACGCCTCCCCTGAATATTTGTCTTGCATTCGCTTCGATCCTTTCGATTCGCGCCATTTTTGCGTAATTGGTCTCAAAGGGTTCCTTCTATCGGTTCAGGTTCTTGGCGAGAAAGAAAATGACGTTGTCATCAAGGAGCTACGGATTGGAACCGACTGCACTGAATTGCAGAAGCTAGAAAGGGATGCGGCTGCCGGATCGTCGTCGCCGGCCTCCGCCATATTTCCTCTTTATAATGCGAAATTTTCATTTTCGCCTCAGTGGAGACACATTCTGTTTGTAACATTTCCAAGGGAGTTGGTGGTGTTTGACTTGCAGTATGAGGCGGCGCTTTTTAGCACCTCATTGCCTCGTGGGTGTGGTAAATTCCTTGATGTGTTGCCGGATCCGAACAGTGAGTTGCTCTACTGTCCACACCTGGATGGAAGGCTCAGTACCTGGCGGCGAAAAGGGTAAGTTCTCTTGGTCGATATCTGCAAGGTTCTATTATGAAGTGGCTGAATAACATTAATGGTTCCTGGGCTGTTCCATGTTTCGTGTAAATGTTATTATTATGTTCAGGTCCGGTTGCCTACCCCTTTTCAAAGATTTCATGGAAACTTATCCCCCTTGAATCCTTCCTTGTGAATTTGCTAAGTGTATAAACGAGTTTTGAAGAATTTTGGGTTGCTGTCGAAGATACGCAAATCATGAGCGTTTATAAGATTAGATGTATAGTTGCGATTGTAATGAAATTGTTTGTTATGTATGAAAAAGTTTTCTTAAATGGGAGGTCGGATGAGTTTGGGGACGGGACTGTGGAACGTTGCATGAATGGACTTGTTAAGACTTGTATGTTCTTAAGGATTGAGAAAGTTTTAGGTAAATCCCGACCTGTGGATGTATTTATATCTATTTATCTTCATAAATTTATTGAGGTCTAGTTTGAATTCTGAGTTTCAGATTACTGGAAAATTCTCCCAGATAAACTAAAATTTAAGTGCCTATGCCTATTGTTCTTTCTATCATGAGTATTAATCCTTCTTTGTGCATGCCAAGGTAGGAACCTGACTTACAGGCTTGCATAATCGGATTTTTTGGTGTATATAACTCTTTTCCGCGAATATTTTGCTTAATTTTTTAATTCGAGGAGACGAACTTATATGTTTATACTTTAAGAGGTGAACAAGTCCACATAATGTCTGCAATGGAAGAGTTGCTGCCTTCAATTGGCACATCTGTTCCATCTCCTTCAGTTCTTGCTGTTGTCATCTGCCAGTCTGATTTCATCCTCCAAAATGTTGGCAAGCTTTGTTCTGATGTACCTCATTCTCCTGATGCACATTCCGAAGCAGCTATTGATACTCCATTTGATTATTGTGATGAATCCCGTCATGTCTCTTCAACAAACTTGATATCCATCTCTGATGATGGAAAAGTATGGAACTGGCTCGTAACTGCCGAAGGTGCTGAAGACACTCAGAAGGATGGCGCAGGTGTGAGTATGAGCAAAGTGCCAGCCTCAGACAGCAACACTGACCACACGTGTTCTTCTACAAGTGGTGGTCGTCCACCCTCTGACCTCAGCAAACTGGATTTGTCATTTAAGGTTAGCTTCTGTTTGTTAACGCTCTTCTTTACCAGTTCAAGGTTGCAGAATCTTTATTATAAAAATAAATTTCCTGGTATTTTCTTTATCCCGAACAAACTAATGCAATGTTTATAAAAGACCCTATACTTTCAATAAATCTTAAATTTAGTCTCCGTTTCTAGTTTATTGTTGATTTTTTAAAAGCTTTTTATCATCTATTAGAGCCGTTTCACCATAAATTTTGGAAGCATAAATCTTTTGCATGAAAATTATTATTATTATTTAACCAGTTTTAATAAACATGAACTAAAAGAGACTAAATTTAAAAATGATTGAAAGTACTAAGACTATAATTTGACATTTGACTTGTAACAACTTCTAAACTACGGGACCAAAATGGTAGTTTAACCTAATGTTATTAGTTTCGAGAAGGTTCTAGTGAGTTTTCCATTTTGGGAGGACGGCAACTTGTCGTCACACGCTAGTTTATTTAGAGATGGGCTCAAGAGAAACTATATGATTCTTGAGAGGTGGAAAGATCAGATGATGAGATTTGAGAGGTGGTGAGGTTTAAAACCTCCCTATAAGCTTTGGTAATTATGTGTTTTTGTAATTATGATCTTAGTTTGATTTTGTTGAATTAGAGTCCTTTTCTGTAGTTTTGGGATCTTTTGTACGCCCTTGTTTAGTCTTTCATTTTTCTTAAGAACAACTCAGTTTCTTACCAAAATGTTATTCTTTAGTTTTGTTCTTCCGTTAGAACTACACGGATGCGTCAAATTGAAGTGTGAAATGTAGCGTGTGTTGTTTTATTCCATGAAAGTTTGATTTCGCATAAAGAAAATGGTTTTGGCTGTTTCCTCTTTTTTAATTCAATCAGGAAATTTCTGCCTGCTAACTGTTAAAGCATTGATACAGATCAGTTTAGTTGGTCAGCTTCAGCTTCTTTCTTCTGCAGTAACAATGCTAGCAGTGCCATCTCCATCCTTAGTAGCTACAATAGCTCGTAAGTTTCATGACTAAGCTCTGTACATGCAAATATATATTACCCATGTATTTCTTCAGAGTTGTAATACCATTTTTTATGAGATTTGAATGAGCTGGATGTTTTTAGTTTGAAAAACTTAATTAGCCTGGTTTCGTATTTGAGGTGGAGGAAACGATCCTGCTGTTGCCGTACCATTGGTTGCTTTAGGGACTCAAAGTGGAACCATTGATGTTATTGATGTTTCTGCCAATTCTGTTGCATCGTCCTTTTCCGTACATAATAGTGTCGTTAGAGGCTTGCGGTGGCTAGGGAATTCCAGACTGGTGTCATTTTCTTACAGTCAGGTATATGCTTTCGTATTTTGTTAATATTTTGAGTTTTAATATGTTCATTTTACATTCAATGTTTTTCTGCTTCTATGTTTGAATTATATCACGTTTATGTACCTAAGTGCAGAATTCTCATAATTAAAAAGAGCACTGGATTGGTAGCAACCTTTTTATTATCGTATACCCGTTCACATTTTTCATTTTATTATACAATTCAATAAGTAAC